AAACTTTAATAATTGATCCATGTATGACTCACAATGATGAACATAGATTCACTTCCTTTTTATTTGCCTGTTGTGCAGAAGTTCTGACATCGCAGCTTACTCAACGGAGTTACAAAGTGGAAGCAGCACCCTCGGCTCCAACAGCCAAATGAAACAAGTATATGAATGTAATTTATTTCTGAGTGACCCATTAACAGCTGTGACGATAAGTTTGTGCTTCAAGTCCACTTCTTAAGTCTAAAAATACATGTCCCCGCTCTCAGAAATCCCATTTTCTCGGCTTTAAACAGGCGAGTATAAAGTAAATGTGTGACATCACACAAAGACTGTCCAGCATTTTCTACAGTCTGTGACAGAACCTCCTGATGTAACATGCATTAGTTCAAATACTAAAATTAAGAAGTAATTGGGTTCAGCACAAGGCTGAACGAGTCATTTAACCATCTGATGCTCGCTTCATTTTTACCCCCGAAAGCCCTCTGCACCTCTTTTGATCTCCAGTCTGCAGACGTTCCTCGGAGTTGACGAACCCGCTCTCGGTGCGGAAACGGCAAGTCATATAAACCGGTTTAATTTCATAACAGCATTTTTTTCTTCTTACTTTCTCTTTTTTCTCCTGGTGCGAAGTAGAGTGGGCTTATCTAATTGTGGAAGCCACGAGCCCTGGGATACAGGGCTGGAGAGAGAGAGAAGCTAATTAGTTTGAAACGAAGGCTTTGAAATGAAGCACAAAGCTCCGTGTGTGGTGGAAACAGACTTTATGCGTTTGGTGAGGGGGATTTTGTGTAATAGAAGTGGAGCGTGAATGATGAGTGGAGCTGGTGTTTCAGCGAGAGGAAGCTGGATTGCCCACAGAAGTTCGCTTCTGTCTGTTATGAACACGGAGGTCACCTGTTTATAGACACAGCATCGTTCTCAAGGCCTTTGGTTCATGAATCCTGAATAGCTGATAGGTGACTATTAGTATTATTCAAGTTCTTTTGATTATTTTATTGTAATTAAATGAGTTGACAATGGCCAAAAAAAAAAGAAGAGTAATGCGTCTACATTAATATATGTCTTCTGAATTTTGGTGTTCTTCTCTTTTGACCCCAGCCCATTAAAAAACTCTCAAGCAAAAATGCTTCAGACGTTCAAATCTTCCTTTAAGGTCTCTCACACGTCCCTCAGACCAAAGACTTCAGCTAAGTTTCTCCCTCGCTTCATCCCTTTGGATCGGATGGGGAAAGCCAGCAAAGCAAAACAAAATGTCCTTGTGTTGTCTCCAAGGCGATAGTGCCTCCGTACTGTGGCTGCCGTCGACTCCTGCCTTTCCTTTTTTTCCCCCCTCCTTCTTCTTCTTTTTTTTCGTGCCCATCTCATGGAAAAGATATACAAGTTTGCTCAAGGACACATCCTTCTTTTCCACCCCAGCTGTCTCTGTCTGTCTCTTGTGAGTATATGCAGGCATATTTAACATGCTGTGTGTTTGACGGAGGACTAAGGGAAAAAATAATTTAAGAGCGGACTCAACAGGATCATCCGGAAGAATGGAATTACATTCAAGACATGTTTCCCAGTGACTCTGAATTAACCTCATGCTGGGTCGGCGATTTCCTCCAGCTATATTTCTCTGTAATGTGATTTTACCATCAGTGTTAAAGAAGGTGATATGATAACTTTATTTAAAAGACATGAGTGAGATACAAAGGTAGCTAGTTATTGACTTGGTGAGACAATGAACTTCAAAGTAACATCAGGCGACATTTGAAAGAAGAAGCAGCCCATTCTCTCTTTTCAAAATAAAAGGTTGAGTTCATAAGCAAGAAGAAAATCTTTGTTGTTCATGGCACGACACAGTGTTTTTTTTGTTTTGCTCTTTCATTTCTTACATCATCATTCAATTTGGGTAGAAAAGGAAGAATAGAAACCCTCCATCTGTATCCTGGTAATCACACCATTAAAGGTTTATCTGGATCCACTCCCTGTTTTTTTTCTCGGGCTGTGTTCCACTCCTCCACAAAATGTAAACTGAAGAAGGTTCCAAAATGTTTAATTAAGGTAATTAAGGAGTTTAGCTACTTTTGCGGTGGTATGCACTGGTAGTGGTTTGAGTGAGTTTCAGTGGACGCACAGAGAATGTGTAGTTCTTTTTGAAGTAGCTGAATCAATCGTACAAATGTTAACGTTGGATTCTGTGTATTAAGATATAAATTCTACCATTTGTGCCTTTACAGCCATTTTTATTTCATCAAGTGGGAGATATTCTAGAGGGCTGTTCCTAACATTCCGAACATATGCATGCTGCATTATTTACGTTGGCTAATGTAAAATATAATATTGGAATCTAAAGGGCAATTAAGTAAGTAATTATTTTCTGTAGTTACCAATTTTGACCACAGTGGCTACTAAAATAAGACTATAAACCTTTTGCTGACTCTGCTGAGGAATGGAATGGGTCCAGAAGGAATATATGCATCTCTAAATAGCGTATGGTGTATTTACATGTATGTTTGCAGTGCTTAGATGTGGTGTAACAGAGGGGAGGAGAGAGAAGCAGATTTAATTTTACTGTGTATAGTTACTTACATTAACTAACATCATTCCAAACTAAAGCTGGGAGCAAAACCAGAAGTGAATTTTCTGTACGAATAGGAAGTGTTTGATATTTTTGCATTAAAACCTATTCGGCTGATATTTCTATAGGAAAGAATCATCTAACCTGGTGTCTTCTTCATTAGTAAAGCTCTCTTCACTGCAGCATATGTCCCGGCACAGCTTTACTTTCTTACTTTTGCATTTTGCATTTACTTTTTGCAAACTCTCTCAGCAAAAAGAAAACTAAATCTGTCACAATCAGAATGACACACTGTATCACCCGCCCTGACCACTGCAGTAATTCCCTTATCCTCACAGGCCCATCTGCACACCTTTCCAGCCGCCTGCTTATCAGGGTCTGTGCGCCGTGACCTTTACTAACCTCAATATGAGCAAGAAGCAGATTTCCATGAGGTGCTCTAATGGCTTCCTTTACCATATGCTGTTAAAGCACCAACAGCTTATTTCAATTATACTGAAATGTGTCTTGTTTGGATAATCACTTCTCCTCTTTAACAAATGTACAAATTCCCTGGCGTCCTAGACGATAACTCTCCTTCCTGTTTGCATGATCGTTGCAGTTGAAGGATGGACTGGGCGGCAGTGGCACAGATTGATGATGGTGTCTAATAGTGGTTAGAGGATGCAAATGGTGATGTCTTGTTGGCTGCTGGAAATGTAAAATATCTATTTGAGCATGCATGTGATTTCTTTTTCTGTTGATGGGTGGAAGTGTCATGTTGGTTAATGAGGGTTTGTGACTGAGTGTGTGGCTGCAGTTGTGTGAACCGAAGTTTGCAACTGTATACAACTGAGTTAAAGCATCTTTTTTATTTTATTTGCTTGTTTCCCATTTTCTCCTGCATACTGGGTTTTTCCTGAGAGAGAATTATACAGCCTGCATCAAAGTGTAAATAAACCCCTCTGTGTGCCTTAATTTAACATTGCACTTCAATGAGATTCTTGCTTTAGCTCCACTTCACTGATGGAGTACCTTCACAGGTGTGTCCAAGATACCTACAGGTCTAAAAAACACATCAGACTCTTTTGTTAGCCAGCAAAAACAAATACTCAATCAGCCTGGGACTCTCGCTGTGGCGACCTATTTAATCAACCTTGCTGTCGTTGAATGCTGTTAAGCATTGAATGCATTGACTACTGATGGTGCCGTGGTTTGTGTTATTACAGCCTCCGGCGTTGTGTTCCATTCCCAAACAGTGGCGCTTATTTATGCTGTCTTATTTCTCCGCTTTTTAAATTCGCCACACAGCGAAATGGTCACGATTGCAAATTGAATCCCGCTGAACTGGATTTTCAGCAATATCTAAGTGCTCTGCATGTGTGACGTCCATTACACCTGCCAACCCTAAAATCTACCCTCGTTAAATTTTGTTTTTGCACCTCTTTCATTCAAAGAGTGGGACCATTTGTCACTTCTGTCACATTGATTGCATCTCTCCGTTAAAAGGAAGCAGCGTTGATCGCAAATTGCGTTTTTGTGTAAACAACAAATGTGCATGTCTCTTAGAAAGTGCTCTCTCATGGGAAGCATCCACCTCTCTTTCTAAAAAATCTGTGTACAAAATAAACAATCCAGGTCTATAATGAATATTAAAGAGCAATATTTCAGAAAAAATCCGATATTTTATGAAGTCTGGCGCCCTGTGTGTCCTCTGACCCTCAGCAGCCGAACCAAGTCTCTCACTAAATGAATTTGGAGACCTTATTTTCCAATCAGGGCCACCAGAGGAGGAGTATAAAGGGACAGAGTGGATGAGCAGATTGGATGATTGATGACAGGGTGTGAAGAGGGAGCTGTGTGTGCATTTCAGTGGGAAGAAAAGGATTATTGTGTGTGCGTGTCGGTGTGTGTGTGAGTGTGTTGGAGTTATGACACCCCGTCTCCCCCACAGCTCCGGTAAACAGTGTCATTATCAAGCGCCTCCTGGAGTGGAACCACAGGGAGGGCTCCCATCCAGGAAATAGATATTCCACTTTGTCCTGGCTGACCCAGAAATAGCGTGAAGCCGCAACACCCAGTTATTGACTCGCAGAGATATGCCCTCGTCAATGACTACTTTTAGGCTTCACAGCTGGAAGTGTGTGTTTGTGTGTGTGTGTGTGTGTGTGTGTGTGATAGCTTAGCCAGCAAGGCCCCCCCCCAACCTAGACACCATGCATGCTTATCCACGTCACACCTGCCAGTTCGATTGATCTGCCCTGAACTGTCTTCTCTTAAAGTGACACAAGAATGGAAGCTCGCTGCATAAGCTCTGTCTCTTCCTTACCAGCACTGAAATACATTTTCCCTCTCAGACGTTAATAAATAGTGACAGAAGAAAGGAAAGACATTTACCCTCAATCTTCACCGTCTTTTTTCCCTTGAATACTAAATTTTGTTCTCTCGTCTTCCTTCCTTCCAGAAACGTCCTCCTCTGTGATGGTCTACATGGACACGACGACCACGACGACGAGGACCACCACTCGACCTACCACGGTTACCATGACATCCACAGTGGCCAGGACGACTACCACCAAGATGCCCACAACGACGGCTGCAGCTGCTCAGTGGCCGCGGACAACAGCGAAGGTGGTGGCCCCAGCGCAGACGCCGGTGGAGGGTTTGGCCCCCGAGGACAACGACAGAGCGCCACCTTCCTCCAAGCTGCCCAACATCAGGGTGGAGTACTGCAACCCGCTGGTGATGATGGACATCTCCTGGCCCAAGACTAAGCAGGGGGTGGTGTCCAAGATGCTCTGTCCACCTGGAACCATAGGTAATTTGGATTATTTTTAAATTTGGATTAGATTATTTTTGCGTATCTCTGTTAGTCAGCAGGATTACACAAAAACTACTGGAGATGGTAAAAATCCAAAACATTAGAAAAAGAGAAAATACACGCACCTATAGTTTGCCATCTTAAATACCCACAATCCATTTTGACTGGGAATGGGAAGAACATCTTGTCGGGGATCCGTATCGGCACAGATTCAGGATCTTTAACATTAAGAGGGATTTCTCAGAGGAGAAGAATTTATGATCTTAATAACAATCTGGATCTAGTGAATTGAAATGTGGTTTCCTAATGGGACTGTTGATTCTTGCTGGAGGTACGCACTCTACTGAGTTCCACTCAAGTTAAATATTAAAAGGGAAATTCCAGTTTTGGACAACATCCGTACTGTTTTGTGTCGTAACCAGAAAAGACTCAAAAATTTGTTTAGATCATCTGACTGAACTGATGCTGATGGTTGCTTCCTTATTAAACATCCTCATTGATGTTTTAATTATCGTTAATTCACTGACGTCAGTGTTTTTTCAACATCTCATCCTCTACTTTGGCCCAAACTACAAAAATAAGTTTCCAGTTCCTAGACGTAGTGGTTCTGTAAATTTGTCACCAGACATCTCACTGCACACATACAATAGCTAACTGATTGCATTTCCACATTCCAGTAGGTGGAGGTTAAACATTGTGATGATTAATGATCCAAAACCTCAAACATAGTATTCTTGCCGTCTAAAAATGAAAGAAGTGAAACATAAACGTTGTTTGTTTCTTCCTTCCTCCCTATGAAGATGTCAATACTCTCATTAGGAGGCCCAGTTCACTGTGACCCTCTTTTCTTGATGTTGGCCACCGGAGTGTGTTTTGTGCATGTTTA